CTTGATTTGATGTCTTATGAAGATAGATAAAACAAAAAAATAGTTATCAATTTGAAAATTAGACCAAATTAACCAATACAAGTTATCTTAATTTATCAAATGACTTCTAAATAGTTGACATCGGTGCAGAGGGATATTTGACACTTTTTTACAATTTTGTGGAGAACTAATCGGAGTCAATTGGAAAGTAAACTCATCGGAGACAAAAATTTTATTTCAATATAAAATGATATGATCATTAGAGCTTGGTCTACTATAAATATTCACCGATACCATTATAAATTAACCCCAAAGAAAATATGAAAGCCCTAACAGCCATAAGCTCGTCTAATTCTAATGGATTTCCTAAAAAGCTCTCTCTGCTCTATATGGGTTATTCATGTCGATCAAGCTGTAATATTTCAAGTCGGACCATAGAACGAAAACCCGTCTACGTACGTATCGTGCCGACACTATGGAAGTATTATCGGCGCGAAAAACTAGGAGAAGTTGCCCTTCTAACAAAGGGCTTTACGCTATGATATATCCTGAGATATATCTTGGAAGATATCTAATATTAATGATGGTTCGAACAATGGCCATTATATTCAGTGTGTTATTATACTCCCACACACATAAGTGAATTCCTCGTACATCATCGTATCATTAGTTATCAAACTTTGTGTCATTAGTTACGGAATCTGCGGTTGCAGTTACAAACTATACTAATGGATTATGACCGACTAAATATTGGTGCACTAAATCTAGATTAACCGACACATGCGTTAGATAATTTTGAAATATCGTCATGTGTCTCATCTTTAAACTTTGAGGCCACTAAACGGAATGGATCGTCGAGTTTGATGTGTGTTAGAGCAATGCATAAATTCCAGTTATCCGACATGTACCTGCAAATCTGCATTACAATGGACTAAGTCGTTTGTTATACCGAAATCGATCAAAATTGGATGTAATACGCGCGGTCAATTTAACGGCCAGATTTATAGTTTGCAAAAGCAATGGGTTGTGGCTCTGATTTCGTATGTTGGAATAGAATTGTGCAATATATTTCAAGAATTTGAATTACATATCTGCAATACATTTACCATAATGGCTATAATAATTTGCAGTCTATCAATAACCTAAATGTTATTGTGCCCAAGTATTTATGAAGAATTACCTTGGAGTCGTTTATAACTTAGCTATTAGAACCATTTAATATTGAATAATAAACCAGCTACAATTGTATGTAGGTCATAAATAATGGTATACATATATAAAACACAACGTATGAAGAAAATTCTTTCATCAAGATAGAATAAATTGAGAGTGGAGTGCTACCGAGCTATTTACTAAAATATACAAAGAATCAAACGTCTAAATTTGAAAATGAAGATGAGATATATTAATCAGTTCAATGTTTTTAGATTAGATTGGCAAATGAGTAAGCGCGGTTGCTGACGTCCAAATAGAAAATACCTTTTATTATTGGTTAGTAGGATAATTTGATGTCCATCAGTATCATTATAAAAGAGTTTTTTGTTCGATTACTTGGTTTTTGTTTGGCCTTCTTTGAAAGGTGGAAAATCAAATTGAAAAAAATTGTCAAATATTACCATACTCAAAAACTGCAGTGTCAAAGTTGGTTCCCTAAATTTAGTTTTGGCGATATTCCACTCAAAGATGAAAAACGCTAGGAAAAACTGGGTACGTTTGTACCAGGGTACGGTAGTGACAGTCGTCATAAGTCGTTAGCCAGCTAAACTATTCTGATTTTGCACCAGGGTCCAAAGGGAGAAAGATGAAGTATGATTGTTCGAACAAGTTTCCATTATTGCTTTCAGTCAGTGCCTTATATTAACATGATATGTAGACCGCATTAATTTTTTTTTTGTTATCTTGTTGTAAGTTGAACAATTGACCCTCGGATGTGGGCGGTTGTGCCACTGGTTCTTTTTTTCATAACATTTGATTTTATGACGAATACATCGTAAGGACAGTATTTCAATACACAAATGTTCAAATTACTTTTCAATTTACCTTTCTCTCAGCTAACGTACTCAAATTCTGAGCCTTGGTTTTTTATTTGCTTCAGTTATTTATTATTAAAATTTAAATAGGTTATGGGTAAAGATGATTGGTGAAGCTCAATATACTTCATAGGTCTCCTCCCCATAAATCCTTTTTTTGATATCGCGCTCCGGATTTTGGAGGTCCGAGTAGCGTAATATTGCTCCAAAAGAGTTTTTTTATTGTCAATTCAGACGTATTTATACGTTTTCGATATATAATATGTCCTAAAGAGGACCTTTCTTCCTTATTCGTACCCATGTCAACAGTTTAGGCATAAATAGCCGCATTAGGCGAGGGTGCCAGCCTGCTACTTCAGCCGGGGATTCCTTTTTGTCGATGAAATTATTATTCTTTCCTTTGTTATTTTTATGATAAAGCTACGCGATGTATAAGAGTCAAAAATAACAAATTGTATAAATGCGAGTTGTTATTATATGTGTTTCGTATTGGCTTTGTTCAGTGTACACTGTACAGACAGGCAGGCAGGGAAATTTGGAGCAATGATATTATTGTGCCGATGGGGGGCTAAAATAACAAAATGTAAAAAATATCACGTGCGTTTATATTTGAGTTCGAGCTTAAAGAATTGGTTTCATGCCAGTATGATCAGGAGTGAAAACAACCGAAATTTTGAATAATTCACATCCATATTTATTAGTTAAATGCAACGAGGCACGTGCCTTAAATACTGCTGATTGTTTAAATTTTACAAATTTATTTATTACATAGTATTAAGTTTTAACTAATTATATGTACAAGAATATTTAATTAAACGATATGGAATTAGTTGTAACAAACTTTAAAAATAATAATTTTTATGAATTTTGATAATAAACACTTTAATTATTTTAGATTATTTAGATTTTTTCGATGAAGTTTTCTTTCTTCCATAAAAACTTGAAAATCGGGGATGTCTGCATCTAACGACGGTGGTGAAATTCTTAAGACGGATGTTCTGCAAAGTTAAACCAAAATATCGTCAGGATAATATTTCCAGGACCTACCTCCAAAAAAACTCTAATAAAACTGATATGAATCCATTTATCAATGTAATCGCGGTACGTCAGCGACGATAGAAAACAAAATTTAAAATATATATAACGCCCAGATTTTTTGCTGAAGTTTTTTCTTTTTCGCCGCTTTTCCAACTTTCGGCCTTTAATAAATGAGATATATCATCGGGTTGAATTCGCGAGAGAAAAACAACGCCGGAATGTTAAGAAAAAATCTTGACTGGCAGCTTTAATTAATGCTTTTATTTTGTCGTGTCATTCGGAAATATTCAATCAAAGTGTCTGATTAATTTCGGTGAAAATTGCTCGAAGATGCAATTTTGTTGAAAATTTGATTGACTGAAATTCTGAACTAGATAGGACAACAATTGGGATGCCTTCTAATAGCGATCTGTAAAAACTAAGTACAGATGAAATATACAGATTGTTGTTCATATAGGAATTTAAAAACATAACTAATTACAGAACTTTATTAGCTAGCAATCTTAAGTCAGTTAAGCATTATTATAATGTATCCAATTCCTAATCCTAAATCCCATCACAAACTCAATATAACTAAGGAGTGTAAACTTACTACGGGATCCGATATGCAGTTTCTCTGAGCCAGTTCCTCGGCACGATCAAAGCAAAAGGGCCCTCGACCTCAACCTCTTTGCGGTTTGGCGTCTTGACAAGACGCAACCGACGTGGCTGTGGCCTATATGAGGATATTAGGTTTCGCCAAACGTTTGTATCGGCACAAAGTTAAATTTGATAAAGTTTTACAAGAATTTAATGCCCTGTAGTAATGGAGGAATGGAATTAAGCGGTTTTACATGAACGAATTTGGTATAATTAGTATTTCGCAAGACCACAAAATTTACATTGGAAAAGAAAAATCTAGTTGCAACTGTTGTAGAAGAGCTATTATTCTACAAAGTTTTTGGATTGTGACTGTAGTATTTAAATGTCAGACTGACTGTTATCAAATTAAGAAAAAATCTGAAAAATTCACTGAACAAAGAGTCAGCAAGTTTGAAGAACAGGCTTAACCATTAAGGTTGTTGACCATTGAGTGTCAAAGTGATGCCAGTAATGGTGTTTCTTGACGGCTTTCGATATATTGCACTATCGAAATATGCCAAATTTTCGCCTACGAACCATGATTTCGCTTTCTGGTGTCTGTATCGCAAGTGGATAGTTAGATAGTCTGATAGTTGACGGAGTGATATATAAGCCACAAACATGATGGCGGCGCAAATTTCCACACATACCAAACATCCCACTTCTAATCTACACATACACATATATATATATATATATATATATATATATATATATTAGGGTGGTCTTTAATATGGACGTTTTCGAATTTCCTTGCTCCCAAGGGCTCAAATAGTTCCAAATTGATAAAAAACAATTCTCTGAAAGTTTTAGCTCTTAATATTGTGAAGAGCGTAATTCGATCAAAGTTTTTTATGGAAATAGCATGAAAAAATTTTCAAAAATTGTATTCTAATATTCAGTTTTGAATTATGCCTGGTGATCAATATAGGTTTAAAAATCTCTGGAAAAATTTACAGCATTTATGGCATTATTTTTGTATGGCTTTTAGTTCTCACTCAAACACTGTTAGTTATCTTAATTTTTTAATATTTAATCTTTACATTTTTGTTGCTAAATGAATAAGTTTTTTAAACTTTCCATAAGCTCAACAAAATCAGAATTAATAATAGTTTGATTACTGAAATGACTGCTACAAGAAGGTGGTTTGAGGTAGGAGGGTGAAATTTTAGGGCTGGGTGTGTTTTTACACTTTGCACTACAATTGCACTAAAAAAACCTAATTTTAACAGGTTTTGTAATGTATTTTCAATATATAGATTTTTACCACTTTAAATTGTATGTGATCATCTTCTTTTTGTATGACTTATATTGTGTTTCTTGATCTTATAGATTTCGAAGAAAATATTCTTTGAATTCTGAATAGCAACTGAAGACAATGCTGTCCAAAATCTTAATAACCAAATATCAGAAGTAACTTATGAACCCTTTTGAGATAAGTGGATTCAAATGAGAATTACATAGGAAGTTTATATATCACGATTTTGTAAGTATTATTTTAGCACTTAATGTATATATAAAAAATTTTAGATCACATAACTTCAAAGAATAAAGCTCTTTTTATTGTTCGATATAGATATTTTAAATATAATTTTAATTATTATATGATGAATAAAATTAAAATTTGAAAGAAATTTTTTTTATAAATAATATATGCGAAATAAAGGTAATTTCACCAGAAAAATGTATAGTTTACTATATTAATTTATTAATTTAATCCAAAATTATAATTCTTTATCTTATACTCAAATACTATTATCGTATGAATTTTCTTATAAAATTTTCTTAGAAAAATAGAAGCAAACAAGAGCTTCATTATAACAGGAAATTTGATAACCTTAAGCTCTTACAAGAAAACGTATCATTTACCAATTGAGGGTAGCTAACGACTTGGGGCTTCCACTTTACACACCCATATTTGTTCTACTTGAGCACACAAACTTCAATTATTCTCTATGACACATATTTTTAGTAAATTATTATACTATTTAAAATATATTTTATTGTTGCAGACAAATACTTTGAAGAGGAAAAGCTGACTTTTAGATGTGTTTGTGATCAATTTTAGGCCCTGATTGTCCAAACGCAATTCTTGTTAAATTTGATTCAAGGACTGTGTGTGGACATCATTGCTTGAAGTGGTTTTCAGCAAAAAATGTCTACGTTGACAAATATATGAAACTTTGGAAGAAAACAAGATAAAAAAGATTTTTAATAATATGTACAATTATAAATAATAGTTAACATTGAGATATGTAAAATAATTGACTGTATGTAATTTGCTATGATACATATATCTATATGTATGGGTAGAGATCAGATTTTTATTCACTTTTGAAATTATAATTGATATTAATTTACTTTATATTTATTAAAGATATTACATAGTTTGAATACATCTTAAAAATGCATCTCAAACTCTTTAAATATTCTTTTATTCATTTTTTGCTTCTAAGTATTTTACTTTTAGTATCGCATATTTCAAAACATATTTCGAAAAACAATTTTTGATAACTTGAATATTCATGTATAAATGATATTATGTCCTGCAGAGCTCTTTAAATGCATCTGGAATTCCTTAACAAATTCTTTAAAGCACTTTGATGTAATTTTGTGCTGTTTTTTTCTATTTTTTTGTTCCGATGTAGTTTAGTTTGTGTACTTCTTATTTCAGAACACATTTCAAGAAATATTGTGGAATAATTTAAATATCCTAGTATAAGTGGTAACTATTATCATTGGTGTGATAATTGGTTAAAAGACATTTCAATGAGTGCTATGGACTAATTTGAACAATCTAGAATAAAATGTATGTCCTGCATAGCTCTTAAAAAGTGTGTTGCTTAAAACAATCACATTATATTTTATTATATTACAGCTATAGATAGACAAGTATCACTTAAACATTTCTATTGTTTGTTTTAAAGTAGATTTTTCATGTTTTACATATTTTACAATACATTCCGAGTAAGTTTGAGAAACAATCTGAATATTCTTATGATTTATTAGACATATAATAATACATTTTGTATCAAAACGTTTCTCTAAATTTGAAAGCACATTCAAATATCCCGCCATATTCTCAATAAGGGGTGCTTACAGGGCCTCTATGCAAAATCGTTCCCAGTTCCTGAGGAACTAACGTCAAGTTGAATCCATGGATAGGAAGAGCCGACATCGAAAGACAAAAAAGTTATTCACGGATTTATATACTGTTTTTTTCTCATTATATATGGACTAGCTGCCGTAGTTTGTATGGGAATTGGATATATAAATGTATATATGGATTTATACATGATTATATTTGGCCAAGCCGCCTTAGTTTGTATGGGAAATGGATATATAAATGTATATATTGATTTATATAAGATTATATATGGCCAAGCTGCCTTAGTTTGTATGGGATATGTATATATAAATGTATATATTGATTTATACATGATTATATATGGCCAAGCTGCCTTAGTTTGTATGGGAAATGGATATATAAATGTATATATAGATTTATACATGCATATATATGGCCAAGCTGCCTTAGTTTGTATGGAAAATAGATATATAAATGTATATATTGATATTCCTCTAAAACCGGAACCATAATTATATATCTAATAGCGTATAAAGGAATCCAATGAAAATCCACCAAAAATCCCATTGTTCTAAGGCGATTGCATGCAGCGCCTCTATACAAAATTGTTCCCAGTTCGTGAGGAACTAACGTCCAGTTGAATTCATATAAAAGCGTATAAAGGAATCCAATTAGATTCCTAGATTCATAGTGGCGGTTGCATACAGCGCCTCTATGCAAAATCGTTCCCAGTTTGTCGGGAACTACGTAGTGACTACCGGGTTCATATGGTTCTGTGTTAGATGTCGCCACCGACCTAAACGTCAAACCTTTGACAGTTCTTCGACGACAAGTTAAAATTATTAAAATTAAGTCATTCTGTTATAATAATCAAACTGTTGCACAATTCTTTAATATTTGCAAATGACTGTACAGTATTTTAATATTAAGTGCATTTTCTTGATTTACTTGATTAATTTTATTTTCTATAACTTATAACATATATATTGAAAACATTATTGCTGTGTTCAACTGAAGCAGATATCTTGATTCAAACATAATGCGGTTAAATTGAGAAATCTTATCCTGACAGTAAGTGATTTAAAACATTATAATATAAAATATTATCTGTAAATTTTATAATTGATTAAATATCGTGACTGATGTAGCTAAATCAACCAATCAACCATAGACCTTTCGTAGTAGCATTTAACTGTCTTCTTAGAAATATACAAGAAATGAATTACAGGAATAAATAAAAGACCACAGCTTCGAGTAAGTTTTGCTACATTTTATATACTGGTAGCCCATGTTATTATGTCATTTGATATCATGTTCTTTGAGTTCTATTTTATTTCTTACTATCTGTTCACGCTTTGTCGTGATTTTGTTCATATTAAAATATTGAACAAAGATGTGTATTTGTTACATATAGTTTAAGGTTACCACTATCTGTTCAACAATTTACCTATTTAACAATTTGTCTACAAATTTAACTACCAACTTGTTAATCAATCTAGCATTTTACCAGCTTACCAATTTACCTGTCAACTCATTTACCTATCAACCCGTTTCACATGTCTACCAATTTGGCTGTCAACCTGTTTATCCGTCTTGTTATTTGTCTATCTACCAGTTGTTCAGTCTACCATTTTACAATTTACCTGACCACCAGCTATCCATCAAATTACCTTTTCACCAATTTACTTGTCTACCAATTCACCTGTCTATCAATTTACCTGTCTACCAATTTACCTATCGACCTATTTATTTATCTACATATTCTTCAATCTACCAGTTCTCCTCTCTACCATTTTTCATATCCTCCAATTTACCTGTCCACCAGTTGGCCAAATTGGTTCAGGCGTTGTTGAGTTATGCGCTTACCAACACATTTTGCGATTCATTTTTATATATAAGAAGATGAGATTAAACATATGTCACTCAATGATATCAGGTTGACAATGGACTATGTCTTTTTCCAAAAACATTTCACTCAATTTGGAAATGATATCATCAAATTAAATCCATGTACTTCTATACACGTTTTTTTCTCAAACATATTTTACTCAATTTGAAAATGATATCAAGTTAAAACCATCATGGATTACTACTCTTCACGTTTCTTTTTTTAAACATGCACATTTATATTTGAAAATTATCCTCAAATGATCATAATACGTGTTTTTGAAATGAATGTACACATTTGGTACTTCAATCTCTGTATATCCAGTATTTCAAAACATATAGATCCATGAGTAAATTATATTTTTAATTTTTAAATTATATAATAGGATATATCCATATTCAAAAAATCTAGACACGATAGTAAAGCTATAGTAATAGTCTTTTCCGTTGATGATACTTCAGATTTATGTGTTCAAAGTTTTTTCTGCATGTATGAATTATATATATTAAAATTGATTGATTGAATTTTATCCTCCAGATTTACCAGAATAAAACAATGTGAATAAGTAGAATTTAATTTTGTATTTAGAAAACAATATCAAAATATTAAAATACAATTGCATACATAGAATTCATATCAAAACTAAATACAATTGACTTAAGTGGATTATCTAATAAATCTAATCATATTTATAGATCGATGGACAACAAATGCACATTTCTCTAGATTTATAATAATTAGAGCTAATAAAATACATGAAATCTTTTACAGATATTTTAATAGCTACACAAATTACAAAATTATATTTACACAAACTTGTTGTCAATTAAATAAAAAATCAAGCGTATAGCTATTTTTGCTTCTTCTCATCTATGTGATTCAACCTCTGCAACAATGTTGGGTGAGTGTGGTTCCAAGTAGAATAAAGCCAGTCGTTGGCTGGAAATCCTAAATTGTCTTTGTGCAATTTCAACAGAGCATGTTTTAAGGAATCTGAGAAATGCAGTTTTACTGCAAAAGTATCTGCTTCAAACTCGTGCTTTCGTGTCAGTACAATCATGAAGAAATTGAGTATGGTGTTATAAGGTGCCATTACAAATTGCATAACTGACAAAAGGCCAACTAATACAGGTCGGACATCATTTGGGAAACCAAGAGCAGAGTATAGCGCATTATATTTGAACATTATTGAAAATATTACAAATAACAATAGCAAGTTTAACTGCATGACACCAATCCTTTTCCAGATATGGTTATACTTCCAGTGACCTAGCTCATGAGCCAAAATTGCCAATATTTCGCTATCATTGCAGCCTTTCTCTTCTTTAGTATCCTCATCAATTTTATGCAAAAGTGTATCGAATAATACTATTCTTTTAGCTCCAAACATTCCTGTAAAGTAAGCATTACTATGCACAGAACGTTTTGAACCTTCAACAACAAACAATTGTTCTAAAGGGAATGACAATGAAGCTGCTAATTTTTCTATTGATGTTCGAAGTGCTCCGACTTCCAGAGGTGTAAATTTGTCAAATAATGGAGCAATATATGTAGGATATATTGTCATAAATATAATACTTGTACCAAATGCAAATAGCCATAACCAAACAAAGAAATACTCGCCACCAGACTTAACAATAGCAATGCAAGCCGCTGATATTAGTAAGAATATTACTTGCATGACTATAAATTGTTTGATGTGATCCTTTATGAAAAATCCAACTGTTTGCTTGTTGAACCCATGTTTACTTTCTAGTACAAATGTGTAATATATGGTAAAAGGCAAATCTAACACAGTTGAGAATAAATTGAAAAACAGTAGAAACACCATGCTAATAGATATTTCATTTTCTTTCGTGTACCCAAATTCTTGAAGAAAATTTTGTGCTCGGTTCCAAAATGTGAAAAACACTCCATTGTAAAGAATGAATGTTGTTAAGCAGAGAGAGAAGAGAGTTTGGATAATGGAAAATCTTGCTTTGTCCAAGGCATAAGTACGGCTTTTTTCAAATGTTTCTTTAGTTATCACATGGGTTAATTGTTGAGGTACTTCTAAGGTAGTTCTGTAGACTTTTAACTGAAATAAATAGTTGTTAGAATATATAGAAAATCAAGACAACATTGAATTGAAGTAAACAATAACCTGTCGGCAAACTAGGTACAGTTCCCATAATGTTTCTATCCATAAAAAGGAGATAATTCCGTACAACACTACTTGATGCTCTGACCAATCCATTTGAATTATTATTATTTACTATTGGCTAATCACAATACTATTAAAGTAAATAAATTTGTAACCGGTGATGAATTGTTAGTTAGGTTGGGTGACATTAATGTAGTAGCAGCATAGATAAGGGAAAGAAAGAGGTTGACAGATTAATTTTCATCGGGTAAGGTTGGTGAGCATGATTATTATCGAATTCGGTGCCGCCAATCTTAAAAAAATAAAATAAATGTCAGAAGAATGAACTGAATATGATCTTTAACGAATCATTTGAGAAAAGTGTCTTGTGAAATCTGAATCAACTTTTACAGTAAGTCCGTGGAAGCTAAATGTAATTAATGTATTCGATTTACAATGAATATCCGCTAGATATTCTGTACACATTTCCAGGTAATGCATTGTTCAATTTTTAACAAATGAATTTAAAAAAAAAATACATTTGCAGATCATTGACTGTACTATAAATGGGAAAAATGTTGTCTCATATTAAAATTTATTATGCCAGGACCGTGCACAATTAGTTTGACGAAGGAACTAGTATTTGTAATCCATACATGTATAAATTTTACAGATTCAGATACTCTGATTTATATTCTGAAATATTAAATTTGGATGTTGTCTTTATGGGTCGAGTGCTATTGACCCGTTGGAATAACTGTGTTCCAGTAAGGCTAAACATTCTTGTACTGCTGATTTTTAGTGTGCTACTTACGAGAACCATTTCCTAGCAGGTCGTAGCCCTGCACACCATGTGTCCTAGACGTTTCAATGTATAAAAAAAATCTGAATATGCACATACCTTTTTAAAATTGCTTAGACCAATATTTAATGCATAATCATTTGGTTCGTAAAAGTGAACCTGTCAGCTTGTCTGGCAGGTGCTTGTGCAGGTTCTCAATGAAGCTTACTGGAACCAGTTTAATACTCGGGGTTAGTTTGAATATAATGTGCAGTGGTGAAATATGCCAGACAATGGTTCTCATACGTAGCACGTTAAGAATCATCAATACAAACATTTTTAACCTTACACTGTTATTCAAAAGGTTCAGAGACATTTGGTCCATTATTAGAACACTCTAAAGTTCTTTTTACTAAGATTTATTAACACTGTACACTACACAAATATTATTCACATGTCTCATTCATGTAATTATATTGAATTGGTTTATTACTTCTTTCATGCTATAGATTTTGAACCAAACATTATCATTTCTTCTCATTTTTTTGATATTATATGTTCAAATGCGAGAATTCTTTCTTTGGAGTCACATTATCTGATACATCTACTTCATGTAGATGCTCAGCAAAATCTTTACAATTCAACTTCATTATTCTAATTAATGATGTGATAAAGTTTTTTTCACATTTACACATCACACATTTTTGTTAAATGACATATAACTCATTTGTTTCGCAATCAATTTAACTATATTTTTGGTGTATAGTGTATTTTAATACCATGCAAAAAATTCAATTTATTTAGTATCATAAATTTTAATTCAGATACATATCTTTCAATTTGTGTTTTATGAAAATAGGTTTTTCATTCGGTATCTTTTTAAACCGTGCAAGTATTTATTGACCATGTTTAAATAATTATACATACTAATTAGTGAACGTATTATATAAATGGAAATTATTTTCACGTAATATATTTTTTATTAATATATGAAGAAAAACCATTTCATTATGAAATCATGGAATAAGCTTATATTAGTCAATAATACATGTTCATATGTTTTTGTAGTTTAAAATATATGCTATCATTTACATTTTCAGTTATGGCAAATCAATAAGTAGACTTTGTTGATGGCAAACTACATTTCAATGTAATCACTTTCTTCAGGCATATAGGATCTTTTACCACCCCATGAAAAGAAGGGTACTTTGGGGGCTTTTCTAGACTTCACCAATATATCTGGACTTCTTTTTCCACCCCAGCTGAAGAAGCGTACTTTTTTTAGTTGTTCTTTGCGTTTTCCTCCCCAAGAGTTAAATGGAATTCTTACCTGAAAATACAAATATACAAATTTTAATTATTACAGATTTTTTTGTATTGCTATTGAGAAGTAAGTTTTGTATACTGGTTTTAGGAAAGAACCACCAATACAATACGATAGAGCTAAACTTATATATTTTCATTAAACGAAAAAGCAAATGTTTGTATAATGATAAATTCAAAACTTGCTTTGCTGATTCCTAATTTACTGTAGTAAGTTTATTGGATATCACAAATTTCATCTTTATTAAAAAAAATTCTTACCTTTTGTGGAGTTTGAGCTCTTTTTGCCAATTCTTGTTCGTAATCCAGTTCATTAGTGTCAAAAATATTTTGTGGTATTTCGATTTCATCGGGATAATAATTATTGTACATTTCATCGTGATCACCTCGTTTTCCACCCCAGCTGAAGAAACGTACTTTTTTTAGTTTTGACTCACGTTTTGATAAATCTGCATCGTTTGCTGAAGATTTGCTTTCAGAAATACTGCGTTTTCTGTTGCACTTTAGAAAACGAACATTTGGGGGCAAATAATCATTACAGCTCAACTGGGGAAAGAAAATATAGTAAGATAAGTTATTAGTAAAGCATTGGATACATGTTATTGCTAATTCTAGTGGAAATGGATATATGTTCTCGAGTTAAGTCAATATATATATTGATATAATTGTTAGAAATATCTCTTTTTCTTACCAATCGCCACTTGGCATTTAATGGATCTACGTTCTCCAATCTTCCTTCATCAGACATTGTGTCTAAAGCATCCAAAAGTAAATCATGGTGGTTGATAGTGTTGTCGGGTAATGAATTGAACAAAGTTTTTTCCAATGACTTTTGATCAGGAAGATTCATGGCGTTGCATGTCTTTAAACAATGTGGCAGGAACAGTAATAACCATGTTATTGGATGCATTTTGTAGTCTAAAATTCAAATGTTGTTATAGTCATGTTTTAAAATCAATTAGAATGTTCCTACTTACGTTTGTTGGTGGAATTTTGAACTGGGTAGCTTTAGCTTTTTATCTATGATTAACACCTGTTGAATGCCAATAATTGTTATTGAAAATTAAAAGATAAATTAATTTTTCTTAATGCTTATATGTGATTTTTAGTAATTCATTGATTAGATTAATACCTACATCACAGGTTTTCAGTAGTCCTTCATAAGTTGGTAATTATTTGACTATTAATTTTAAATTAAGAACATGAACGTTGTTCTGGTTGCTCTGTTAAATAGGAACTGTGGACTTTTGGATCACGTTTCTGCCTTATATATCGAGGCAGTTCTTCCTTAAAAGGATGTAGATCTAAGGGCAAGTTCAAATAGCAAGTTGAAATTGATGATGACAATGGAAATATTATTTTTATATTGAAAAACCTTTGGAGTTACCAAAATATTTATTAAATAATTTATTGCCAAAGATGGTATCTTGATATCAAATCCAATGCACCTCCATGTATTTACATCTAACTTTTTTCAAGGGTTTTGTATTTTGATAATGATGGTTTTTATTTAGAGTAAATGTCTATGGGGCTATATACATGTAATTTTTTTAAAATTAAAGCAATGCAATGGATGTTAGATTTCTGATAGTTTGATGATAGTTTATTGGAAAGTAAATGTCTATCACCTCAAATGCACCTTCATTTTTTTTTTAATTTTTTGTATATTAATTATTTCATGCAAATTAGCATGAACTTGAGTTCTTTCTCGAATGTTCAATGTATCAATTTCATCATTTATAAAAATTTTAAATTATTATTTAATTTTTTTTTTGGGTTCTTTGATCTGATCTGATGTAATGACCAAGTGTTATTAGAAGCCATCCAGTAGTTAGATTCTGATATATATTTAGCATCAATGCCCCGTAAAGCTTCTTGAAATTATATACAGATCTATATTTCCAAGCGTAAACTGATATCACTGATTCTTGATGTCAGGTTGTCCGGAGCGCGAATAAAATCTGGAATCGGTTACTAAGCCAAGGTCTTTTACTACAAATAAGACATTTGGTTTTTCCCTATTTTTTTGGCCAAATCTTTTTTTCCGCTGTCTATGTGGACCAGTGCCTACATTTATTTCGTTTCAGTGCATTTGCCTCAATGATTTTAATGTCCTCTCGAATTACCTAACAACGTATAATATTTGCGATATTATTCTGGTACAACAATTAACTCTTTACTCTCTCGAAATTAATGTATTTTCGCAGATATTTTACGCTTTGATGCATTTTTTGGCGATTACTTGATAATTGCAAATATATTTTAACGAGTGTAATGGAATACTTGTAACGGAATACTACAAAATTGTTTTAAATTATTATAATTATTTAATGGGGCGGAATTAAGGTCTATTCGAATATATTTCTATTTTCGAATGTAAAACGGTGTATTAATTTTTGCAGGGTGGAAGTGCCTACACAAATGTATGTGATTCGTTTGTTAAATATTATAACAGTATTTTCATTCTTTTTTTATTGACATTATATACAATTAATAGTCATTTATTTATAATATATTAATTTTTATTTCTTTTTTTTTCAGATTTATCTGGAGCTAAGAGCTTGTCCTAAGGACTTTTACTGATCTATCTTAAAAATGGTGAGTGTACCATATAAATAGTTGTATGCATTATGCAGTAATAGTATTTGTGTACATAATAGTACGAGAGCATATAAGAGTATTACTCATTCACGTACTATTATATTTACAAACACTGTTATATACTCTCGGACTATTATGTACACAAATACTATTACTCATTCACGTACTATTATATTTACAAACTCTGCTATATATTCTCGTACTATTATGTACGCAAATACTATTACTCATTCACGTACTATTATATTTACAAACACTCATATACACTCGTACTATTATGTACGCAAATACTATTACTCATTCACTTACTATTATATTTACTAACACTGTTATATACTCTCGTACTATTATGTACGCAAATACTATTACTCATTCACTTACTATTATATTTACAAACACTGTTATATACTCTCGTACTATTATGTACGCAAATACTATTACTCATTCACGTACTATTATATTTACAAACACTGTTATATACTCTCGTACTATTATGTACGCAAATACTATTACTCATTCATGTACTATTATATTTACAAACACTGTTATATACTCTCGTACTACTATATACGCAAATACTATTACTCGTTCACGTACTATTATATTTACAAACACTCATATACACTTGTACTATTATGTACGCAAATACTATTACTCATTCACGTACTATTATATTTACAAACACTGTTATATACTCTCGTACTATTATGTACGCAAATACTATTACTCATTCACGTACTATTATATTTACAAACACTGTTATATACTCTCGTACTATTATGTACGCAAATACTATTACTCATTCACGTACTATTATATTTACAAACACTGTTATATACTCTCGTACTATTATGTACGCAAATACTATTACTCATTCATGTACTATTATATTTACAAACACTGTTATATACTCTCGTACTACTATATACGCAAATACTATTACTCGTTCACGTACTATTATATTTACAAACACTCATATACACTTGTACTATTATGTACGCAAATACTATTACTCATTCACGTACTATTATATTTACAAACACTGTTATATACTCTCGTACTATTATGTACGCAAATACTATTACTCATTCATGTACTATTATATTTACAAACACTGTTATATACTCTCGTACTACTATATACGCAAATACTATTACTCATTCACGTACTATTATATTTACAAACACTGTTATATACTCTCGTACTATTATGTACGCAAATACTATTACTCATTCATGTACTATTATATTTACAAACACTGTTATATACTCTCGTACTACTATATACGCAAATACTATTACTCGTTCACGTACTATTATATTTACAAACACTGTTATATACTCTCGTACTATTATGTACGCAAATACTATTACTCATTCACGTACTATTATATTTACAAACACTGTTATATACTCTCGTACTATTATGTACGCAAATACTATTACTCATTCACGTACTATTATATTTACAAACACTGTTATATACTCTCGTACTACTATATACGCAAATACTATTACTCATTCACGTACTATTATATTTACAAACACTCATATACACTCGTACTATTATGTACGCAAATACTATTACTCATTCACGTACTATTATATTTACAAACACTGTTATATACTCTCGTACTATTATGTACGCAAATACTATTACTCATTCATGTACTATTATATTTACAAACACTGTTATATACTCTCGTACTACTATATACGCAAATACTATTACTCATTCACGTACTATTATATTTACAAACACTGTTATATACTCTCGTACTACTATATACGCAAATACTATTACTCGTTCACGTACTATTATATTTACAAACACTCATATACACTTGTACTATTATGTACGCAAATACTATTACTCATTCACGTACTATTATATTTACAAACACTGTTATATACTCTCGTACTATTATGTACGCAAATACTATTACTCATTCACGTACTATTATATTTACAAACACTGTTATATACTCTCGTACTATTATGTACGCAAATACTATTACTCATTCATGTACTATTATATTTACAAACACTGTTATATACTCTCGTACTACTATATACGCAAATACTATTACTCATTCACGTACTATTATATTTACAAACACTGTTATATACTCTCGTACTATTATGTACGCAAATACTATTACTCATTCATGTACTATTATATTTACAAACACTGTTATATACTCTCGTACTACTATATACGCAAATACTATTACTCGTTCACGTACTATTATATTTACAAACACTGTTATATACTCTCGTACTACTATATACGCAAATACTATTACTCATTCACGTACTATTATATTTACAAACACTCATATACACTCGTACTATTATGTACGCAAATACTATTACTCATTCACGTACTATTATATTTACAAACACTGTTATATACTCTCGTACTATTATGTACGCAAATACTATTACTCATTCACGTACTATTATATTTACAAACACTGTTATATACTCTCGTACTACTATATACGCAAATACTATTACTCATTCACGTACTATTATATTTACAAACACTCATATACACTCGTACTATTATGTACGCAAATACTATTACTCATTCACGTACTATTATATTTACAAACACTGTTATATACTCTCGTACTATTATGTACGCAAATACTATTACTCATTCACGTACTATTATATTTACAAACACTGTTATATACTCTCGTACTATTATGTACGCAAATACTATTACTCATTCACGTACTATTATGTACGCAAATACTATTACTCATTCACGTACTATTATATTTACAAACACTGTTATATACTCTCTTACTATTATGTACGCAAATACTATTACTCATTCATGTACTATTATATTTACAAACACTGTTATATATTCTCGTACTATTATGTACGCAAATACTATTACTCATTCACGTACTATTATATTTACAAACACTGTTATATACTCTCGTACTACTATGTACGCAAATACTATTACTCATTCACGTACTATTATATTTACAAACACTCATATACACTCGTACTATTATGTACGCAAATACTATTACTCATTCACGTACTATTATATTTACAAACACTGTTATATACTCTCGTACTATTATGTACGCAAATACTATTACTCATTCACGTACTATTATATTTACAAACACTGTTATATACTCTCGTACTATTATGTACGCAAATACTATTACTCATTCATGTACTATTATATTTACAAACACTGTTATATACTCTCGTACTACTATATACGCAAATACTATTACTCATTCACGTACTATTATATTTACAAACACTGTTATATACTCTCGTACTATTATGTACGCAAATACTATTACTCATTCACGTACTATTATATTTACAAACACTGTTATATACTCTCGTACTACTATGTACGCAAATACTATTACTCATTCACGTACTATTATATTTACAAACACTGTTATATACTCTCGTACTACTATGTACGCAAATACTATTACTCATTCACGTACTTATATTTACAAACACTATATACACTCGTACTATTATGTACGCAAATACTATTACTCATTCACGTACTATTATATTTACAAACACTGTTATATACTCTCGTACTATTATGTACGCAAATACTATTACTCATTCATGTACTATTATATTTACAAACACTGTTATATACTCTCGTACTACTATATACGCAAATACTATTACTCGTTCACGTACTATTATATTTACAAACACTCATATACACTCGTACTATTATGTACGCAAATACTATTACTCATTCACGTACTATTATATTTACAAACACTGTTATATACTCTCGTACTATTATGTACGCAAATACTATTACTCATTCATGTACTATTATATTTACAAACACTGTTATATACTCTCGTACTATATGTACGCAAATACTATTACTCATTCACGTACTATTATATTTACAAACACTTATACACTCTGTACTATTATGTACGCAAATACTATTACTCATTCACGTACTATTATATTTACAAACACTGTTATATACTCTCGTACTATTATGTACGCAAATACTATTACTCATTCATGTACTATTATATTTACAAACACTGTTATATACTCTCGTACTACTATATACGCAAATACTATTACTCATTCACGTACTATTATATTTACAAACACTCTTATTATACTCTCGTACTACTATATACGCAAATACTTACTCGTTCACGTACTATTATATTTACAAACACTCATATACACTCGTACTATTATGTACGCAAATACTATTACTCATTCACGTACTATATATTTACAAACACTGTTATATACTCTCGTACTATTATGTACGCAAATACTATTACTCATTCACGTACTATTATATTTACAAACACTGTTATATACTCTCGTACTATTATGTACGCAAATACTATTACTCATTCATGTACTATTATATTTACAAACACTGTTATTACTCTCGTACTACTATATACGCAAATACTATTACTCATTCACGTACTATTATATTTACAAACACTGTTATATACTCTCGTACTACATTATGTACGCAAATACTATTACTCATTCACGTACTATTATATTTACAAACACTGTTATATACTCTCGTACTACTATGTACGCAAATACTATTACTCATTCACGTACTATTATATTTACAAACACTGTTATATACTCTCGTACTATTATATACGCAAATACTATTACTCATTCACGTACTATTATATTTACACAACACTCATATACTCTCGTACTATTATGTACGCAAATACTATTACTCATTCACGTACTATTATATTTACAAACACTGTTATATACTCTCGTACTATTATGTACGCAAATACTATTACTCATTCATGTACTATTATATTTACAAAACTGTTATATACTCTCGTACTACTATGTACGCAAATACTATTACTCATTCACGTACTATTATATTTACAAACACTCATATACTCTTGTACTATTATGTACGCAAATACTATTACTCATTCACGTACTATTATATTTACAAACACTGTTATATACTCTCGTACTATTATGTACGCAAATACTATTACTCATTCACGTACTATTATATTTACAAACACTGTTATATACTCTCGTACTATTATGTACGCAAATACTATTACTCATTCACGTACTATTATGTACGCAAATACTATTACTCATTCACGTACTATTATATTTACAAACACTGTTATATACTCTCGTACTATCATGTACGCAAATACTATTACTCATTCTCGTACTATTATGTACGCAAATACTATTACTCATTCACGTACTATTATATTTACAAACACTGTTATATACTCTCGTACTATTATGTACGCAAATACTATTACTCATTCACGTACTATTATATACGCAAATACTATTACTCTTTCACGTACTATTATGTACGCAAATACTATTACTCATTCACGTACTATTATATTTACAAACACTGTTATATACTCTCGTACTATTATACGCAAATACTATTACTCATTCACGTACTATTATATTTACAAAACACTTATATACTCTCGTACTATTATGTACGCAAATACTATTACTCTTTCACGTACTATATTTGGTTAGTTTTGGAAGACATTTTTGCAATAAAAAAATCGATTTTTTTAAGTTTCTAAAGCAGGCTCCTCCCCCCTTAAGTCGATTATTTACACATAAACAGTGCAATTTGCTTTAGAGCAAAATACCACTCTTCACCAGCTTTATTAAAAGTAGAACAACTGCTGCAATTATAATTATAGAATTTGAAGTTTTGTCCTCTATTATTTGATAAATATATTAAAATAATTTATTATTTTTCAGCGTTTCCGATTTTGCGGGGGCGCAGATTGCCCTGATTGGCTTTTAGCAGAATTACATGCGTTGTCCAGGCTGAGTTCAGTCAGGGTGCGCCAACTTGCCACTTTAGTAGTTCAAAGCATACTGGATGGAAAAGTAGACGTGAGTACCAAATTTTTATTATTACTGCTTGATAGGTTTTGGTATTGGTTTTATTTATCGTAATCTTGAATATGAATACTATTATTCTTATGAAAGCAAGCGTCCACAAATGTTAACAAAGAAATAAGTTCATTATTTAAAATTAACATATACGAGTATAATTTGGAATGGAAGCAGTATTGATGATTTCTACTTCTTTCATTTAACTGTGATTTATTAATTGTATTTTGTGTATATTATCTGGATGTCCACTCTGACAACTGTGAATTATATGGAAAAATTAAAATCTTTAATCATTTAAATACTCATCACATTACATGTGGTGAGGTAAACATAAAAATAAAGTACAATTTTTTTATCAAAACTGGAAGAATCTGCTACTTGATATAAATAAGTCGAACAAACATTTTTTCTGCTACGTTTGAAATGAATAACATTGTAGTTCCTGAAACCTGTGCCATTCCATTATTTAGAACGCTTTTGGTAGTGCTTAATAATTTTATCGTAGACATTTAGTCTGATGTTCATTACATTTTAGGAAGAAAAGCTGATCAAGATTATGAGCGATACCAAATTAGGTATGTTGGCATTATATATTTACAAGCCACCAATGCTATAATCATTTACATTACCTGCAATGCACATGAATCCAACATTATTTGAATAATTATATTGGGAATAATTATGAAGATTCTTCAACATATTTGAGGAATATATCTATTATTAGATGTTTAATAGAGCTGATGTAATTAATTTCAATACTTTGTTAAAGATAATTTATATCAAATGTTGATTCCTAAAGCAGAGTGATATATTTATGATATATTGTCATCCAGAATGCATTGTATTCAGTATCTTTTGCAATATTGTTGTTAGGTACTGGAATACAAGAAAGACTCACACAACAATAATCATTGAAACCATTTAGATGAGCAATGAAATTGGAGATACAAATAATTTTTACTGATTAAATTAAACTCTGCTTAAACAATCCGTTTTACTCAGTTCATTTCCAATTAATGGTGAATGAAGTCATTGTTCGTGCATTGGTATCAAACTGGATATAATTCATGATGGATGTTTTATGTATTTTAAATATGAACTGGACTACTCATTCATAATAACACATAATAAATTTTACATCAAGTTTGGTTCATGACTAAAAATTAGTAACACTCAAAAGCAAATAAAAATGTTATAACTGAAAAGCGATTGAAGCAGACATCAAGATCTATATGACTGTATACTAAAATAATGTCTGATTTTTATGGACAGATATTTTAAGCATAAAGGCAGCATCTTCTTGCGTAAATTTTGTACTACAATCAGCTGCCAGACATGGAGCAGTTGATAGTGCTCTATCCAGCGAATTGCAGCAATTGGGGTTACCTCGAGAACACAGTGCAGCAATTTGTAAAGTATATAATGAGCAATGTGCTGCCATTACTGCAAAATTGAGAGAACAAAGTTTAAGAGGTAGGTTTCAAGGGTAAACTTTTACTTCAAGAAATTTATTTTAGGAATGTGTAATATTGAGAGCAAATCATTGGATTGTTTTTGCTACAAGAAATACAAATATTTACTCTTAAAGTGGCGCAATGCCGATTTGTTAATACAGTGGTACCCTGACTTACGAGTGACTTGAGATTTGGTAGATAAAAATGATTTTACTACCATAGAATTATTTTGCCAGTTTTATGATAATAAGTTAATATTACTTGTGTACTAACGATTTATTCACAAGAATATATCAAGGATTATTTTAACATTTGAAATTTTAATAATACATTAATAGTGTTTGTACAGTTATACATGTTGAGTTTGCATTTTTTTCTTTTTGTACATTTACAAAACATTATTTACTTTTATAACCATGGTTCTAAAGAAAAGGATCATGTCTCTTGAATGAAATAATAAAATTCTTTAAAAATATGAGGGTGGCGAGGATGTACGAGTTTAACATAAGGAGTTGATAAAGGGTATTACTCCAGCAAGGGCGTTACAATAATTTATAGGTAGTTTTCTGATTGTAAAATTGCAACAGTTCGAGCAAAGAAGTTGTTCAAACAGGTCACACTCATTTTGCAATATTGTGAATGGGCAGTAAGAAACAACAATCAAATTAATAAATATTAAATTTATTTTTAATATTCAAAAAACTTCACAAAAGCCACATTGCTGGAACAAATTAATGGCATTTCAATTTCAACTTCAAGGAACAAATTAAACTCGTATGTCGGGGTACTACTGTATTTAGAAAACATTCATTTAGTTTTTCTTTCATCCATTCTGTACACACACCCCAACTCAATAACAAGAAGTTTTTGTATAGAGGGCTGCACCTTTTCTGGATACACTCCATCATTTTATTATTTTCAATTATATTAATATAATTTTTTATTATTCTGCAGTTAATAGATTAAAAGAAGTTACTGCCAATATACCAGAGAACACTATAGATTGTGTACAATTAAATTTAACACTAGGAGACGTTGTTGAAGATGGACAACGTGTAACGAAAGAACATATATTTAACATTGGCAAAGAAGATCTTATAATAATGATCAATGAGCTAAAAAAAGCACGAAGTTTGATGCAAGAATTATCTAAGAGCTCATGATAAAAAGATAACATTAATTTATGAGATACTTGTAAATATATTTTATATAAAAATACCCAATAGAATTTTAAATATTAATTTTGTAATGTATATTATTTATTACCAAAATACATTGTTTTCTATAGAGAACTTTGTTGTTTCAATGAAATGTAATATATATTACGATTTTACAGAATTCAGACAATTAATTTAACTTCAATATCGCTGCTAAAAAGTAGCGTTAATTACTTCAAGCGCCGTAAATAACGATATTGAAATTTTATCATAATTTTATGCGGAATGCTATATTTGTTTATCCGTGATAATGCTATTTTATTCAAAAAACCTTTGTTATTTCCAGGGATGCATTTTCTGAAAAAATGCTGCTTTATGTGATGTGTTTTTTATAGTCCTAACATAGGATAATCTGCGTAAAATTAATTATGTTTTCAGCTAATTTATTTTTTGAACTTCTCCATTGAAAACGTCATAAATAAAGGAAAAAAAAATATTTCGCTGACCATTCAATTTGACTGAATGCAGTCACAAAATTGTTTTAATTATAGACAATATTTGAAATTTTAACAGGTGTTTATAATTACGTTCTTGAAAATTTTAAATGTCATCACGATATTGGAATAATTACTTCACGTGCGCAATAATTATGATTGTATACTTGCAATTTTATCATAATTTTATGCGGAATGTTGTATTAGTTGTCGTGGAAAAATTATTTCATTGGCGGAAACCTTAGGAATTTTCAGAGATGCACTTTCTGAAGGAATAATGTTATAGCCAATATACTTCTTCTGCCTTAAAAGTAAAATCGCCCTTATAAATATTATATTACTTTAAAATTACGTAATTTTTTTCAACTTGTTCAAAAGTAAGTTCAGTAATAAGTAGATAAATATAAATTTAATGCTACATATATAAAAATTTATTAAAGAATTCTAATATAACAAAAGCAAATATCTAATTCAAAAATCCTATATTCAAATATCTTATTCTTGTACATAATTTGCGCTGCAAAATAGATTTTATTCTTCTTAGACTAAGAGTTGTTCCTGTTAATGATGGATCTAACTATGTAGTATAACAAGATTTTTAAATATAAAACATAAGAAATAATCAATTTCATAAATCCAAAATTTGGATCTTCATTGACGAATTTCTCATTCTACCAATGCGACTCTGTAAATTGTTTTCAAATTCCATGAAAATTTTTAGTAAAACTGTAATTTCCCCAAACTTCTGCAAGTATTTTGCAATTTTAGTTTTCTGTTTACTTGAAAATCAATTTTAGTTAGTTGATTTATCATCATGCGTTGGCTACGTCAAGTGCATTTAACCTGGTTTCAGTTGCTTTGCATTCGGATCCTCAAATGTGGTCCAATGCCAAAACACATAGCCTTTATTATGGACGGAAACAGAAGGTTTGCTGAAAAAAATATGATGAGAAAAGTCGATGGACACAGGAGCGGTTTTGTAAAAATGTCTGAAACTCTGCAATGGTGTATTCATTTCGGAATAAGAGAAGTAACGGTGTACGCCTTCAGCATTGATAATTTCAAACGAAGCAAGGATGAGGTGGATGGTTTAATGAATTTAGCCAGAGAAAACTTTAAAAATCTCCTGGATGAAGAGGGTAATATTATGGCAAATGGTGTTAGGATTCGACTTCTTGGAAATATTGATATGCTTCCTGATGATGTCAAGAAATTGGCAGCGAAAATCACTTACATGAGTAAGGACAATGCCAAAGTATTCTTAAATATTGCTGTAGCTTATAGTTCTCAGTTTGAAATGGTGACTGCTATGAGGGATATAGTTCAAGGAGTTGAAAATAAGGAATTAAAACCATATCAAGTAACTGAAGAAATAATATCAAAATGCATGTACACTTCAGATATGCCGAATCCTGATCTACTGGTTAGGACATCAGGAGAACTACGATTCAGTGATTTTCTGCTCTGGCAAATTTCGGGTACTAGTGTCTATTTTACTAAACAACTGTGGCCGGAATTTAGTTTTTGGAATTTTTTCATGAGCATATTGTATTATCAAAGACACATTCGGATTATATCGAGTTTGAATAATTATCAATTGCAATATGCTGAGGAAGATAGAATGTTTAGAAGAACTCATGACGAAGACGTATTTTTGAATAAACTCGATTCAGCTAAATGGGAACATGTTAAACTATATATGTCATTAAAATGTTAGTAATTAGATGAAACTATATAAATATAATATATTAAAATAAGGCTGTTTGAATATCATTAAGTGAAGAAGCTTGTTGGTGGTAATGTTCTTTGTAACAAAACATTATTAGTATTTACAATTGCAAATAGTGTTTTAAATGATGAATAAAATATACTACTTTTATATTTATAAATGC